TCAATTTCTGATTCCATTCCACATCCTCAATCACAAACCCCATCATCCATACCCCTTCATTTCATTCTATAGATACAAACTCACACTCAACCTTGCAAATACCACAATCCCCACCCTCCGGCAAAAATACCCCGCATTCCGGTACTTCTTCATCATGTGTAGCACCCCATACCCTTGGCATTCTTGGCACTCCTATTAAATGCTTACTCTAATTTGGAGTATCGGGCTGGGAGTCCGTAAGGATTTATTATTCTGTTCACATTCAGTTTCTTTGAACTTGCGTAATTATACTACTCGTATGAACATCACACATCGATCGTATTATTGCTTGGTTGATTTGGAGTATTGCTTGCTTGTGAGGTTGTGTTTGTTTTCTTCTTTGTATCTACTAGGACCTTATGGTAAATACTTCTACTGCTAACCTTTTCTTTTCCTGAGGAGTACTGTTTGCTAATATTGCCCTCTTGAGTATTCGATCAGAGTTGGATTGTATGAATGGGGAAGGAGAAGAAAAGGCGCGGTATAGAGAATGACATTTGTAGACAGGATATGGAGAAGTTGAGGAGAAAAAACCCACAGGAAGTATTGCTCTCAAATTTGTTAATGCAGGAAGGAAATCTGGCCAAGGGCCAGATGAGATTGGTGTTTGACTACTTCAAAACTTTTGTTGTCACTCATCCTCCTATTCTTCTCTTGTACTTTCTACATGCATCACCTCCTTTAAGCCAGACATTAAATGGCTTTAAATGGCAACTCAACACCTATGTCATGCCATCTCTTCATCGGTTCTCCCTACCCCGGTGGTCAATCCCCTCCCCCAACTTTCCTCCCTCCTTTAAACCCCATCTGCGGAGTAAAAGCGATCACTGCACATTCAACCGAATCAGGAAAGTGGGGTAGAGTCTAGACAGCAGATACTAATATCTCATCAGTTTGGACCGAGAAGAACATTACCTATTTCGGACTATGTGCAATGTAAGATCCAAGTGATTTCTCAAATGTTTCATGTGTAAAGCTCAATGCATGTAAAATGAGACGTATATTCTCTTCTTGCAAAAATAAAAGCGCTGGCCAACAGGAGCGTCTAAAAATATGTATAATATAGTATGTACAAGAAATAAGTTCCTCTCCTCCTGCCTTTCTATCTTTTTTCTTTTGATTCTTTCTTCCTGTTTCACCGACTCCATATAGTGAAACCGTTTAAACTATGTACACAATTAGACTTCACACTCATCATCTCCTTCATCAGCCGAAGTTGGAGCAGCAACAGCAGCACTGGAAAGAGAGGTCTCAATACCAGCAGCCGAGCTAGCAGCTGTACTGGTTGATGTTGCTACAGAGGCAGAAGCGATAGTGGATCCCTGAACAACTGGCGCCGAAGGAGTAGCTACATGGTGAGATTTTGTGCTTGATTTTGCTGATGTAGATACAGCCGCAATGGAGGAGGTGCTGGATGGTGCTTGCGCAGATGAAGCGGAGGTAGTAATAGCAACGGCGGATGAGCTAGTGGATGGAATGATTGCCGCGGAAGTAGAAGCGATTTTGCTTGCACTTGAAGATGCTGAAGAAACAGCTGCTACTTTAACTGATGCAGAGGTGGCTGTACCGAGATCGATTTGGAGACCAAGGGTTGCGTTCATGACCGCGTTTCCATAGAAAAATTCGGTACTTTCTTTTTGTTAGTATAATATCATTTATCTCTGATCCAGATGTAATAAAGTAGCTGTGAAACAGGTATCCGAAAAAGAATGAAAAGGGAAAACTCACCCAGCATTTCCAACGTTAACGTAAGTACTCTCAGTAAAGAGACCTTGTCCCACAAGTGCAACAAACCACTCTCTCAAATCACCCTCGAAAGTTCCCTCAAACTGTGTTTTTGGCAACATACTGCTCACCGTAATACCCGTATCGTCATTGACACCCTGATACAAATCCCAGCTTGTACCAAATAAATTGTCAATGGTAGCTACGCTTCCAGCAGCCCATCCAATGGGCAATTGACCACCTTGGTATTGGAGCCAGAGCATGAGTTCCTGGGAGGAGCTCGATGTAGAGTCACCTTTAACATCGTTGGTCATGAAATCGTAGCAGACGTTTCCTTTGAAGGCGGTTGTGTTGGAGCGTGTCCAGGTGTAGGTTGTAGGAATGGAGGCGATGCCTGTGAGAGGGGTTTCCAAATTTTGGGTCAGACCAACGAAAGAATATCCTTTGGGAACGTTGTTTCTAGATTTTCATGTCAACATGAAACACCACAATTAGAAATATCGTTTTAACTACATACGTGCTCTCAACATAAGTGATATCCGTCTCACTGTTCCACTTCACCTCAGCAGTCCCATCACTCCCTGTAATCATACTATCATAATATGTACACTGACTTCCCACGATCTGATTTGCATTGTACAACATGTTATACACAATCCATGGCGAATTGTTCAAAATGAGATAATCATAATCGCCGCAAAGATCGGTCGATGCTTGAGTGGCTCGGGTACTGAAATGAGGGCGAGCCAAAACGCTGGCGGCAGACGTGAGAGCTACCAGAGCTGCGGTATTGCGAATTTGGGCGATCATTTTGTAATTTGACAGTGGATTTGATGGGCTGAATGGGTAGGGAGGAGATCGAAGAATGGAAATAAATGAGCGTGGATAGTAAGTGAGTGAGTTTGAACTTTCAAAGTTCGATCTAAAGAATGGCAGGAAAAAGAACTTCCAGAGTGAGTGAGCAAAACGAGTGGACGACAAATTAGTGAATTCCGAGGTCTTTAAAGCGACCAAGAAAATGGCAAAGAACTCTTGCCCACTCACTCAAGGAGCTAAGTACCGTTCAAATCTCCTTGTAATATACTTCCTTGTAGTTGACCCTGCTTCGACTCACCAGCATTCCATCACGGCCAAGATCCATCCATGCAAGCCTTACCTACCCACCGGCGAGATCTTCAGAATGGCCTATTCACACCAACAATTTAAAGACCAGACCATTCGATAAGATCAAATCATATATCTAAAGCATCGGTTATCCCATCTTTCATCTTGTTTACCAATGATGAAGTGCAGCTTTCTTATGGTTAAGAGATTAAACAATTCTACGTAAATCAGCATCGTATATGTGAAACACACTAGACGAATTTAAATAGATGAAGCATCATAATCACGTGCATACTCGAAACCTCCCGCCGACTCCACTTTACTCCGCCTTGAATTATTGATGTTTAATTGGCGATCAGGAGATCCCGCCCATCGTTCCACTCTCACTCTGCCGACTCGCGGCGGATGAAAAATCCGAACACCAACCCCGTAAAAATGAGGGGAATTCTAGAGATGAATGTGTTTGAAAATCATTTTTGAAATCATTAAAAATTATTTTGAATCCTATGTGAAACTATACTAACATACTAAAGAGACTGTGATACGAACACGCCAGACTAAGCACGTGCGTGCTTCTAACAATCTTGACGGTCATTTCACAACTCTAATTCAATCATACCCCTAATTAACCATATATAATCTAATTCCTCCTTATGTCCAATCTTCTTCTCCTCTATAAAAAGCCATTTCTCATAACCAACCCCTAAAAAAAGCAATTTGTATTCTCATCTATATTTTCGATCTGGCACGAATCTGCAGTCTTTCGTGCCCCCTTTTAATTATCATCTAATCCAGGACAATTCTCGGATGTTATCTCGGTAAGACCGGTATATGGTTTTGGATCTGTCCAGATGGTATCGTATCTACATAATATTAGTTATGATTCCCGTGAAAAAAAATAATGTCTCATCCCTCCCTCAACCAAATCATCTGACTCGGAAAAGAAAAAAGAAAAAAAAGAGAAACTCACGCATGTTTCTTCCATTTGGGCGCATTCTCATCACCCAAAGCCTTAACAATGTCGGTCAGCGCACCGTGTTGCCAGCTAATCAATATGTTTCCTTCCCCTTTATATTGATTGACGATATTGGCTACACAATCTGCATCATTTCTGTCGCATGAAATATCAACTGTGATATTTAGATCTGTGGCTAGGGGTTGCACAGTATCGAGTGGACGCGTGCGTTCTCCATCTGATGTACACGTGTTAGATTTCTGAGAATTTTGAGATGAGAGATCGGATTACGAGGAGACAATTGTGAGAAAGAGAGTTATACAGATGACATTCCCATCGATATAAAATGCTACCGGAGTATCTCAAAGAAAGCAAATGTGTCATGATGAAGAAAGTGAAATGAAAAGGGAAAAAATACTACTCATAGGTGTCATAGCCATTATATACTTGATGTCATAATTACTTTCATTACCAAAGACATTGCGAAGACATTGTGCTCTCTGGAGACCGAGGGCACTGAGGCCGTTGCCGCCATCTGAAGGCTTCTCTCCATGACGAATTAGGTAGACTGTTTGGGAAGAGACGGAGATGGGAAGGGCGAGGAGGGTCAGAAGAGAGGTGACGAAAAGCTGGGGGCGATGCATTTTTGAGTGGATTAGGGGTTGAATGTTCGGTAAAGGACTTGTTAGAATATCAGGTATGGGTTGTAGAAAGGAGGAGAAACGGGAAGAATAAGTATGAGTGAATATATATACCTTTTTCTATTCTTCCCTGTACATCAGATGCACATCAATGGCATATGACACTCTCAATAAAATTTAGTATATTGATGTACTAGTGTAACTTACATCTGAGGTGGTGATGAACTAAACTTCGCGTGTCGCTGTCAAGTGATGATCGCCAAGCAATGAGGTTACACAAAGGTGAAACATACGTCAACAAAAAAACGAGAACATCAAGAAGCTTGAATCAAAGGATTGAACGATCCATATCTGAAAAAAATGACGTTTCAATTTGTGCTAGACATGTAGATTTATACTTCAATGAGCCAAAAGCAAATGGTACCTAGTACCACCGAGAAATCACAGGACAGAAGTATCTGCCGTAGATACGGTAGTACCACGTGAATGTAAAGTTCCAATGCCCATCATCAATTCACAGGATTATAAATACAATGTCACAAATTCTTACTCGCAAACCTTCCATGATTCTCTCCCCAGAGCGGGAAATCACGCGCCCTTCCGCTTCTCCCAAAAACCGCAAAACTCAATATGAAAACCATCACCTGTGTTCCTCCATCCAACGCATCACTAAGCAAATATTTCCACTTGAAAAATCACTGGCGCGATATTTACACAGAATACACTGTGCGAAAACCCAAGGGCGAGATAGGAAGTGATGGAAGAATTCACGCCGACAAAAAGCCAAACCATACACCAGAGAATGATAGAAAGGTTTATGTAATTGAAAAGCTCAATTCAAGTTCTCTTGTACAGGATACAGAAAGTAACTGATATTATGAATCCGAGGAAGTAAATGATTGTTACCCATTGGGAGCGAGCCCCAATGGAACCATGTCGCCAGCGATGGACCATGCTAGGACTAGCGTGTTGTATTGCTGGACGTTTTGTCCAGACCAAATATTAGATCTTTCAATAGAAGTGAAGATGTCGAATCGATTTGGAACAATAGTTTTTGTTATGATGTAGTTGAAGATTGCATCGATGACCTCGCCGAGCATTTGAACTGTGAACGTTGCTTTGGGGGATAGATGGACTAGTTGAGCTATTTTAAGACCACGTGCTACCCATTGGCCTTTTTGAACGCCGTTGAAGCCGAACACGGTGAAATACATGTTTGGGAGGGGTTTTCCTAGGTGCAAATAACCAGCGACCCTCCGAATAAGCGGCTGCTGGTTGAATTGGAATCCTGTGATTCCATAGTGTTCAATTTTCCGTGTTGAGTTGTAAAAGTCTCGCGCGAGAGATAGAGAGACTCTGAGAGAGAGAGTTATACCTGTGCACCAAATATAAGAATGAATACTGCAGTAAAGTAGGTTGAAGATGACGAATCCACCAGTGGATGTACGGACTGACTGGACACTGTAAAAAATTGATTTGTGAATATATCTTGATATATCAATTCGTATATCATAGGAATTATCACAATTACTCATTAGATATATAACAATAGAACCATGAATTCTAACATCAAACAATTGAAGAATGAATTTGTGAAAAATTTCGAAAGTTAAGAAGCGACCCGTCAATTCATGCACCCACGGGTGATCCCCACCAAGGAAGTGTAGATTCAACATCATAATAAGTAACCAGCCCCACACCAAAACTAAATAATAGAATTATGGCATACCACCAATTATGTACCTCCTCGTAACCATTCGATACGATCAATACATAACGTGAATCTATATCAGAATTTGCGAGAATTTCTCTCTTGGGTTCTCCCTTCGATCTCTTCTTCTTCCAGAATAACTGGAAAAACGGTTGGAGGACATTCTTAAGGTTGTTAGACGAGAGGAAATACCATCCTGCTTTGACATCATCATAATTCCAAATAAACGTATGTACTATTGTCGAAGAGTTCTCATGCAAGGAAGGGAAAGCTTTGTAATGCCCACGCGTTGCCATAATATACAGCCATGAACAGAACAATGCAAGGAGGATATCCGATCAAACTCTTGGTAAGGGTGTATAAACAAACCCATAGCGGCGACCCCAGGGTAGCAATACATTGCCAATCGAGGCTGAGAAATAAGAAACAAGACCTTCATTTTCCTGTGAGCCACCAACCGGATTTGTGAAGAGAAGGCTATTCCGCTTGAAAAGCTTGTATTACGACACCAATATGAATAATCATATGATTGACAAATGACCACAACTAATGGCCAATGTCATTGAGGAAATGAAAGTGGCCCAGGATCTAAGGAAAATAAAAGATAGATAACCCCCTGCTCTAAGATAGTACTAAAATTTTCCCAAAACAAATATCTCAATATTGCAAGAGATTTTCCAATATAGTCAGCTAGCCAAGTCATTGAGAATAATATTTCACGAGCCTTGTCAAACACATGGTCTGAGATAACAATAGTGGTCATAGTCCAATCCATATTGAAGTCGTATTGGGCGACGAATAGAACCATGCTGATGGTATCTTCAGACTGAGATAACCACATCAAGAGCAATGCTCATGTCTTGTAAAATGCAACCTATGTTGCCCCAGGGATGAAGCGCAGCCGCTAATCTACCCCGCTGATCTTGTCTCTGCATATTCTCCAAACCTCATACCGAAGAGTATGGAAATCGATGACAAAGTCATGACATAGGATGTATAACACAGAGTAGAGTCGATACTTGCGCATGCCAGACTGGAAATGTACTGGATTCACATGCCTGCCCACGGAGTAACCGGATTTGCTATTGCTCCAGGATAGAGTGTATGAATGACTGGCAAGATCGGTAGGATACATGCCGGCTACAGAAAAACTGCATTACCAATACTTAAACAGAGAAACAACCGGCTGACTGTGGGATGAGAGATTATGGGGGGGGGGGGGGTGCATAATCAATAGGAAAGTGACAGTCGAATAGTGAGAGCTTGGAGATCAATGAATAGCAAACATTCTGGAGGCATACGAAAAAGCCTGCCTACCGGTCCATATAGCTAGGATCGTAGAATCTTAATCAATGTAGACATTTATCACATTATCTTTGCATTAAGACCGTGAGCCCATGTTCGTAGAGTAGAAGCGAAGATGCGCGGAAATCTTGGTTGTTACGTCTTGTGGAAGAGATGTCGTTAGGCCTTTCCAGGTTCGGCTTGTAGGCTTGGCAAGGCTGAAGAAAAATAAGCGTTGGCCTGCGGCACCATGTCCCACTCTGCAATCAATCACAAACAATTCACAAACTTGTAGCTTTGAACTCTTTCCATTCAACAATGTACACCTGAATCTTGTATTCCACACTTTTAATGATCATTTTGAGCTGGAGAATAAACGAAGAGTTCTTCACTTGTTCACTGAAAGATATTTTAGGCGACCAGATGAGATTCCCCCATCTGATGTTCAGCGACCGCGAGCCTGGAAGGTAAGCCTCAGTGTCCAATTCGCCATTTCCGCTTCGACGTCAAACGCGAGACCTCCAAATACTCAATGAACGGATGGATACCAAACACACGGCACATTTGCAATTTAGGGGAGTGGTATTTGCTAGAGGCCGTTCTAACTGATAGCCCACGTTTCACGACTACACGGCCAGCACTCAACACGATATGGATGAGCCATAATAAAGTCGAACATTATCCTACCTAATTTCGCGGATTCGCATCATTATTTATAGTTCGGATGAATTTTATAACGATTTTTATTGGGGGCTGTTGTCTAGACTCGGGGCATCTCAGAGACATCCCAACGCCACCATTCAGAGCTCATCTCTCTATACACTCGTCTTCAAAGGAACCATTTTGAACGGTCACTGCTTCATCCAACTTCGTCTTCTTATCTTGACCAAAGGTGATTGATATATCTCCTGCTGTCGTGTGTAATAATAGTTTTCAGAGTACAAATTTCCGACTTCTTCCTAACATTGGATGCTACATACTCTCGATCATGATAGAACCAACGAGGGTGCTCCCATAGACCACTCAAGAATCCTCTGTAGTCTGGAAACGTCTGCTTTAGAAGAGGAAGGTTCTTTCTTTTGTCTCCCCAGTACTCGTTTCCGGGAGGATGTTTCCAGCGACTAATCCATAACCGTTTCTCTCATGCTGTTCTTATTGCTAGTAGGACCTTGTACTTATTTTTATCTGTGAGGTAATGGAAAGGCAATGTAATTGTAGAGATGTGGTAACTGGCCAAGCTGACTCAAATACGTTGAATAGCTTTCACGGACCTAATTTCGGAGAGCCTATCGTCTCTTCTCAGAGGCATATCATCAGATGAGCGATCAGGCCAATGAAATATACTCCCGCAATCTGAGGAGTTCTGTGGTTCGGCTCTAATGGTACCAACTGCCGCTGACCTTAAAATCGCTAGTTCTGCCCCTAGTCGGTACCCGAACTTTCAGTTGGCCGAGAGTCCGTTGTCTTACTTCACCGGTATTTATTGGATTGGAGATTGACCGAAGCGCGGGTTACATGCTTCCGACCAGTGATCTTGTACTGCCCTTACACTATTCATCCTCTCTGGCTTGGCACTTACCTACACCTCCTTGCTCACTTGGTCTCTCACAACAATATTGAAATACTCAAGTACCGATGGAATCTAGATTCTTGAATCATTGGAACCAGATGTTAGTTATGGCGTGTGTATTGAAGCTGTGCTTGTTTCTAGGTATGTAGGTATATTAACTTGTGAGAAACACAATACCCGCCATCGATAAACCCCCTTTAATGTTGTCGCTGCAAGCCCTGTTAGATCCTAGCAAGTCAACGTGGTATCTCTATTTACATCATCGAGTTCATTTTATGGAGCCAAATGAGTGACGCATTTTTTCTTCATGGAAAATCATTCTATAAGCTTTCTTAAGTTCAAGGGCAATATTTAAAAGTAGTATTATAAGCCGCATTAACTGTTAGTGCTTTGGACCCTCAAGGCTGGGCACCTGTGATTATTTGAATCCTTGCCAATCAACCTTGGATAAACAGCCGATCTTGTGGGGTGGATAATTTCTCTTCCCGTTCAACGGATCTACCAAGCTTTGGTAGTTCCTGAAGATCCTCCAACCTGCGACTTATCAACGGGTCCATCTCCGTACCATATCAAACTTACCAAATCACAAATCACACTTTCACTATTATGGAACAAGGCCTGGATATCTGATTGAATGGACTGTGAAAGTGGATAGTATTGCAAATTTCTCCTGATTCTTCCGTCTTGGCTTAGGAAACAAGAGATAGCCTTAATTGACACCAATTAACCTTAATTCAAATGTTAATATTAACCTTAATGGAACAGAGTTTAGTATGTTTCGGATTGGATGAGTTGATGCAGGAAATTGAGGTTTCCGAGAATCGAGGTTTTCTTACGTATGGTATCAATTTCAGAGACAGGAGACATCTAAGATCAATTGGAATCATGTAAGTGACTTATAGATAGTCATTGCTGACAATGGCAAGAACCTATAAGTATGCGTCCTATTCCTGCCCATCATCGATCATCTCATCTTCTCTACATTCATTACATTCATTACATTCCTTTACCAGTATCCTACGTCCTTTACAAAACAGCTTCAAAAAGTCAATCAAAAACCGTCAGAATGCAATTCACAACCACCACACTCATCGCCATCCTCAGCGCTATCGCAGCTGCATCTCCTATCGAACCACGTCAAAACAATACAATGGCACCAGAACGCCTCTGCACTTCCGCTATTGACACTGCCATGTGCTGCCAAACCACTCTTGCCGGTATTATAAACCAGACCTGCACAACTCGTATGTTTTATGTTAACCTCGGCCCTATACATGACTTTTGTAGACAAGCACTAACTAAATTTCAAAGCTGGCATTACTCCTCGCACCAAACAAGAATTCCGAAAATACTGCGCTGATCAAGGGCAAGACTCTTCATGTTGCAAAACTCCTCTCGTAGGCGATGGAGTCATCTGTACCCCACCTTAGATGGGAGGTTGATTGTGATGGAGGTCTGAATATGTGGACATTTGGACGGGCGTTGGATTTGATACGAGAAATTTGATTGGAGGGTACGGATTGGTGTACTGTATGATTATTGAGGACGGACGCATATTTTCTCTGATTTTTGATGCCATTTTGAAGGATGGAGGGAATCTTATTATATTGTAATTTATCTTTGGACTATTTTGTCACTTATTGTATAGATAAAACTTTCTTTACATATTTCCTGACAACAAAATGACTTTGGAAGAAAATACTGTGATTCCGCTTCTTGTTCTCTAGATTTAGAGAAGTGATGGCTTAGATCGAAATATCGAAGAAAGCTCGAGAAACTTAGAATTATCTTTATTCACATCCAAATCCATCAATTTCCTGCTATCGTAAAATGGATGGAATTTGAGTTGCATAAATATCACTGGAAAGTAATAGATGAATCATGATTGATTACGGCAAGCAGTGGATGAGTCAGAGGTAATGAAGATTCAATGGTACAATGTGTATACACAATCTCATTCCTTCACCGTGATAGGTTGAAGATTCTAAAATGAATAAAAATAGTACATCAATGTGATTACCACGTCAGTCCGAGTCATTGATGATTACTATGATATTTCCTACGGAAAGAACAAGACGTCGAATAAGAAACATTACTATTTTACGCCACCAAGAAAAGCGAACTACGTTCGAAGATCGATGGAAGTCCTGATGATCGAGGGAGATTGTGGCTGAGTAGGGGTCATTTGTAAAACATCGCTAAATTCATAGATTTGAGACAAGACTTGATATTTACAATCTAAGCTCATCTTATAGCCTCGGTAGAAGACATCAGAGTTGGTAGACTTTTTGAAGAAGTTTCGACAGCCTCTACTAAGTTGGTATGATACGAATGATTAAAAGTTCAGCAAGAATGAAATATCTCACTCATGGTGGATGTATTTGGGAGTGTTATTACAAAACCATGAGCAAGCGAGGAGTGCTATAGCGTAGAAGCTAGTAAGCTAGCATAGACTATCACGTCTTATCAAACATGATATTGAAAATAGAATTAGTGCAGTCCGGTACTCGATTGGCATGCTTGTCAGCAAGCCTATTGGACATATCCTATCTGCTTTCTCCCGCTAGAATATTACCATATATGCGGCTAACACGTCATGAGAATCATATGATTCACACAAAGTGTGTTGACAGCTTCGTCGAACTGAAAGGGTGCCCCTACCACCTATCGAAAATTACCAAGGCGGAGGAACCTGATTAGACATCGTCGGAAATTGAACTGGCGCCGGACCGGCTATCAGCAATTTTGTCCCAATTTTGATGGACTAGTACATCTAACCACTGAGCTTTAGCTTACAACTTCTGAGAAGGGGATCGAGTAGCTGAAAGAAGCTGCCGACGGCGTTGGAGAGAATGCTAATTTTGTGCGTGAGTCTTCAGGTGCGGCCCGTAAAGGACTCATTGAGGTCAGAGGTGTAACAAAGGAAATGGAGAGAATCATGGAGGGGTTTACGCATCTGACAGAAGACGCGTGACAAGCTTTGGATAATTCAAATCTACTAGCAGAACCCCATAAAAACGAAAGAGCCAAGAAGAAGCCAAGACATGTCATAATTGAGTAGAACGAAAAGTACCAGGAGGCCTTGAACGGGATTCAAGAGGGCGGAGAAAATTATAAAACCAGAGCCCATCTTTGAACAGAATAAACTTTCACGAGAAGGCTCCATGTACTTATGATGTCTTTGATGCTGCGAGAGCGTGAATGAACAGAAAATACAATATACAACCAGACTTTTAGACTCCTAGAGAGAAAGAATAATCGTTTGAAATAAAGGAAAGCTCAGAGAAGTCCGCACATCATCACTTGGTGGCTTATCTGAAGAAACTTAAGGAGGGGTCTAGAGTTTTTGTGGACCCTGTCTAACTGCTGCATCTTGTGGCCATTCGAAAAAGAACGCAGGCGGTGATGGGGTCAGGTTGAGCCTTATATGTTTCCTTTCGCAAAATTTCCCTAAAAAGGGGCACAAGTCAAATCACATAAAGGAAGAAGTGACAACTAGAAATAGAAAAAAGAAATCCTCAGAACATACCGCAGGACTTTTCTCATCACGTTTTCACATGGAGCTAGCCATCCGATATGTTCACAGGACCAAAAGTGATTCTATGGAATGTTATTGATTGCTAGCAACTTCACGATTGAAAGAGTGCTTGTATTGTAAAATAATGATTAAATATTTGAGTTGTAAAGGAGCGTATTATCTACAAAACCGTATCCAGCAGTATTCTAATCTCTGAGCTCAATAGAAATCGTCCAAATTGTGTTGACTCATACTATAGTCGTTTGATGCCGTCTCTTGTCCCCCACATTGAATCCATCGAATCTAGCCAGAGCCGTGTCCTGCTGGAAGGAGAGCAAGAAGGCCAGCAGCGCTCTCAGCCCTCTTGACCTCCTCTTCAGATGGCTCTCGTTTATCGGAACCATGACCAGCAGGAAGCAATGCGAGAAGAGAAGCTGCGTTATCTCTCTTATCAGAGCCATGCCCTGCTGGAAGGAGAGCAAGAAGGCCAGCTGCAGTATCAGCTCTCTTGTCAGAGCCATGACCTGCTGGAAGGAGAGCTAAAAGACTAGCGGCATTCTCAGCTCTCTTAACCTCCTCTTCAGATGGTTCGCGCTTTTCATGGCCAGCTGGAAGGAGAGCGAGAAGGCCTGCTGCACTATCAGCTCTCTTGTCGGCGCCATGGCCTGCTGGAAGGAGGGCAAGAAGGCCAGCAGCAGTATCGGCTCTTTTAGATTCCTCTTCTGGCTCACGTTTCGAGGCACCATGGCCTGCTGGAAGAAGGGCAAGTAGTGAGGCAGCATCGTTTGCTCGCGTTTCTACATCTCTTTCAACTGCAGAGGCAGCGAGGGAAGCGAATTCGGCTTGGCCACGCGCTGTTAGCTGGTCAAATTCTGCACCAGCGGAAACAATTGCAGCGTGAAGGTCCTCAATGGGCATACCCCTCTCAACCACGGATGAAGTAGCAAGGGAGGTAGAGGCGAATGCGACCAGCGCGAAGGAAAGAATAGATTGATTACGCATATTGAATGTAATTTAGGGAGTATGGATGAAGACTGAAATAATAAAGTACTTGCAAATGAATTGATAAGAGAATACGAAATTAATTGTATGAGCACCGCTGGGGAAAGAAGGGAAGAATCTGTGCAATCTTCGAGTTTATATACACCGCAAGAACAAACTTGTGTTCCAATCGCAACTTTGCAATTATTCGAAGGCCCTTACATCGGAAGCTCTTCATCCAGACCGATCTAAATTCATGCAAACCTCCATGGATCAAGTACCTCCTCACAGAATGTCGTTTCAACAAACAAGCTTCTAGTGCTTTGACTCCCGTTCATTCTCCGCCGTCACTCTCCCTCGGCAATGTCAGTGCGTATGGTATTATTGTCGTAGAAAACGGAACGCGTTTGAAACGACCTGGAGAAGTCTAATGCAATATTTCTGATCAAATTGTGTATCAGAATCTCAACATTCATTGGATCGCAACATTTCTGCCGACTTGTCCGACGAATTTGAAGCTTAGCCAAAACATTCGTTAGTTTGTGGCGATCAATTCTGAGAGATCAAATATAGAATATTGAGGCCATCTATTTCCTTTTATGCTACTGTCATGATCGACAGCATACGTGTCCGTTATTTTAGAACTATCAACTAGACAAATTTGGCCGCGCATACCAGACATAGTGTTGTATCTTGTGGTGTTTTCTTGGTTTCCACAATCAAGCTTTCCTTTTGGCAAGCCTGTGCGGCGTAAGAAGACGACACAAGGTTAATACATTAAAAAATGCGATTGGGTAGCTGGGTGTAGACGAGGTATGAATCGAGAGAAATAATGTCTCGAGATCAAACAATCTGTTATACGTTGTAAAAAGTATGAATGATTGCATACACGTCGATCATATCATAGGGGAAAATGCGTATTAACAAGGCGGCATCGCGCGGCATAATAAACACGTGATCATATCCACATTATATCTTCACACTCGCTACTTGCTTCGAACACCCTTTCGTTTGCCAATGGTGGGATAGTCCAAGGTCGCAGCTTTGTGTCCTAAGCTAGATACGATGGCAGAATCGACGACAGTGTCTAGTATGGAGGTGTTTCTGGCATCGCAATTTTCTTCACTATGCAGCTCGCTGTGTGTACGACAAACTTCATGCCAAATCTAATCATTTCGACCTTTTCTTGGGACTTAAAAGTAGAAGAGCTTTTTAGTTATATTGTTCATTCGTTGATTGGGAGAAATATAGTAAGAGAAATAAAAGAGCATCAAAAAGCGTTACCGCCATTTAGTGCAGACATCATATCAGTCTCAAAACAGAGAACATCATGCAGCTTCGAACGTATTCATAACTGCGCCATACGCTAGAAAAAGAATAAAAACGCTAATCAACCCTAATCCTTTCTATATTTTATATATTTAACCCTAAAAACCCTAAATAGGGCGTAATACCAGTAAAAAGTGTAATACCAGGTAGTAGGGTGTTAGATTCGAATGTTGAAAAACCTCCAAGGCAAATGTGCCTCAGGCTGTGCTTACAAATGTACCTCCAAATGCACCTTTCAATTCAATCAAATGAATCCGCCACTATTATGGCTTACCCTAAAAGTAATTACAGCATTGGAAAGCTCTCAATTGATTTAAGCCAATTATCTCTTTTCCGATCGTTTTATCGATTTATTTAAGGTTGTGTACTGGATTGAAAGGCTTTTCCCTATTGCCCGGCCGGAAGAACTAAGCTCCAACCAATTAAAAGTTTTATACATTACTTATGGCCAATCAGAAGGGCTTTTATAAACCTGCAAATATGAAAATGGTTTGCTATAACGTGGTTTATCAGTGCATAGCCTATATCAATAGGTGGCCCACCTCATTTTACATACAAAATTCGTCTGTACATAATCGTACACTTTCTTTATTTATTTATTAAATCTTTTAAGATCTGAATATATAAAATTTAATCATAATTGTATTATAAAAATCTAATCTTTTTTTAAAAATTCGAATTAATATAAGAGTTATTATAGAAATAGTTTTTTTGTAACGAAAATCGTAACAATTTTTACTTTTCTTAGAATATAATAAGAAAATTTATATTAAAACTATATATTCAAAAGACTGAATTTTAATTATTATTTAATATTCTTTTCTATCAAGAAAATAATAATTGATTATTAAAATATAATTATTAAAAAAAGCTTAATTTTGGTGTATTTTTGAAATAGGCTGTAACACTTTGCCTTAAAAGAACTATAAGAACAGGATACAATTTATTTTTAGAATCTACAACTATAAAATTAAGAATAAAGTATTTATAAAATGCTTTTATATACTAATTATATACACATAATTATGTACATATATGTATATATACATAAATAATTATATTATAATTAAATACAATCCATAACATTACCCCCCCTTCAAAAAAGCTTACCTTCAAGTTTTATAATTATTTATTTAATACTCAAATCAGTAATTGTAATATAACATTAATTATTATCTGATTAAATAATATAGTAAACAGGTATATACACAAGTTTTTCTTTTTTGTAATAGAAAGGTGTATAAAAAGTAAAGGAAATTATTCTGTAGCTTAATAACAACTCGAATCTTTTAAGATATATAGATTTTTCGAATTTATTCTTTTTTTAAAACCTTTTTTAATCATTTATTTTTCTCTACCCTTCATTATTATTATGCTTTTGATATTATTAACAAAATATAATACTAAGAGTAAATTGTTATTAATATAATTAAGGTAATTGGAAGTAATATATATAATAATAAATTGTTTATTTTGTTTTTTGTATTTAATATATTAACATATTTTCCTAATAACTTGCGGTAAAAAAAAGATCTATTCCTTTTGTTATACAAGACAAATATGCTTCTATAAAAAAGTTGAATAATGATGAAGATGAAAGGAATTCTAATAAGAATAAGAATAATAATAATAAACTAGATTATAAAAATATATATAAATAAAGTTTTTTTTTATTTATTTTTGATATATAGTTGGTTTGTTTAACAAATATAATTATAGATACTAAGGATGATATACTTAAAGATAAGATCGATTTTTAATATGTTTAATGGATGTATTTATTCCATTATTTATTAAGATAAAACTTGAAAAAGAAATATGATTTATTTATTAATTATATTAAAAATTACAAAACAAAGTTTACTAATAAGTTGGTTACAGCAATACATCATTTTTGTGAATTCGGGGTTAATAAAGATATTATAATAAAAAAAAAGATTTTGGAGGTTTTGTGTTAGAATTAATTTAATCATAAATTTGATATGGTTTATTACAGAAATATTGATTTTGTTGATATTGATAAATTAGGATTTCTAAATAAAAGATTATTAAAGAAGATGGTATTATAATAAAAACAATATATTCAAAAAAACAACTAGATCTATACTAGCTATATTTGTAGTTATATTTCTGGTAAGAGGAATAATATTTGCTATTGACTTTCTGATTAATCATTTGGTTAATCTTATTATTTGTTTTGTTTAATTAATAAATATAAATATGAATGTTTGTTTGAAAAGAATATTTGTGAAATATTTCTTTAATACTAATTGATTGTAATCTTATACAACAATATAACAAAAGTGAGTATTAGTTGTTTTGAGATTAATGATGATGTTAATTTTTATTTAGTTTGATTTATGAAAGGAGTTGAAGAGTTATATTTCAAAAGAAATGCTTTTTTTCATTTTTGTTCGGGAAGATGTAAAGCGTTATATAACTAAGACTATAGAGTAAGGAAATAAATTAAAGCAACAATATTAATTTGTTATAACTTAGATAAAAATAGAGTTTTCGGTAACTCACAAGTGGTTGGGTGAGGTTGAGTACAAGCTTGGTCTTATTGCTATATATATTATAATTAAAAGTTGTTTTGTTTTTAAGTTTGTAATTATTATATGTGTTCTTATTATTACTATTAATTAAAGATTCAACTAATATTTTGGTTTAAATTATTCAATTTTTGTTATTATATTTCACTCGATTGTAATTATTAATGCTTACAAAGATTTTCTTTTTGGTTTGATTTAAGTCTACCGGGTAAAAGAAAAGATTTTTTTTGTTATATTAATTTAGCAATTTAATCTTTATTTAATCGTTTTCAACTTTTTATTAAATTAGGATTTTTTTTGTTATAATGATAAATTAAAAAAGTTTTTTTTATTTTTTTTATTTATATATTGATTATTATTTATAAAATTATAATCATTTTTTTTATTCTTGTAGAGGTGAATTCATTTTAGTAAATGTGTAGAGAATTCTGGTAGAATGAAATTTTGTAGATAAAAATCATAGAAATGATGTAGGGTAGTTTTTAAATTAAAAATAGAATACCAAATAAAATCGTTATTGATATTTAATTATAATATTTTATACTTAAGTTGTTTATGTATTTTCTTAATAGTAAAAACACACTTTATTTCTTATTTAGTGTTATTGGTGATATTTATTGAAAATAATGATTCAAGGATTTGTTCAGAAAATAGATTATTAATTGTTTTATGGAGCTTATTAAATAAAAATATTAGATAGACTTTTATAATTAGGGGTAAATCTAATTTAAAAGAATTTCTGGTATATTCAATGATTTTGAATCTTCCCTAAATAAAATAATTCAGTTTCTTGAAAAATTATTACATCAAAAAATCTTTTATATTAAGCTATATCCAATCTCCAATATCAAAATCTATTAATCAATAATGCAAATTAATTAATCAAAACATCTTTTTTTATATATATAAAATATTCTCTTTTGCTTAATCTAAAATTAATTTATTATATTTGATATACTTTCTAATATTAATTATATTTAGATTATTGATTAATAAAATTAAATCAGATTTTCAATTCTAAGGATTGTAAGGTAAATAATTATATAAAGTTTTATATAAAGATTAGTCATCTAAAGATTTATATAAAAATATAAGTTAAGTATAATCTATTATTAATAAAAATTCGAATCAATTATTTTG